CACTCTCTACCTATACATCATAATACTATTCTTTGACACTTCCTTCCAAAAATTTGAGATTGTTATTCTTAGATTGATTCTTTTATATAGTATACAGTAGGGATCCCTTTTTTTTTGAGACAGTCTCACTTTTGTTGCCCTTGGTAGAGTGCTGTAGCGTCATAGCTCATAGCAACCTCAAACTCTTGGGCTTAAGTGACCCTTTTGTCTCAACCGCCAGGGTAAACTGGGATTACAGATACCCACCACAACACCTGGCTATTTTTTTGAGATGGGGTTTTGCTCTTGCTCAGACTGGTCTCGAACCCATGAGCTCAGGGCAATCCACCTGCCTCGGCCTCCCAATTTTTGGAGGATTGATTCCCAAGTGCTGGAATCAATTTTTTTTCAGTAGGTTGAATCAATTGTCTCAATGCCTTTTATGAAGAATTCATCCTTGGCCCAGTGTCTTGAAATGCCTCTTTTATCCTATGTCACATCTTCCTAGAAGCATGAGTTTGGTTTTGGATTCTAATCTATTATTTCACCTATTGGCACTCACTAATGCCATCTGTTTTTTAAAACTGTAGGGTCACAGCCTAGGCAATAGTAAAACTCCATCTTTCCCAAAAAATAATAAAATAAAATATTAGCTGTGTATGGTGTTGTGTGCCTATAATCCTAGATACTTAAAAGGCTGAAACAGGAGGATTGCTTGAGGCCAAGAGTACAAGGTTACAGTGAACTATGATGATGCTACTGCATTCTAGCCTGAGCGACAGAATGAGAACCTGTCCCAAAAGGAAAAAAATAAAATAAAAAGGCCAGGTGAAGTGGCTCATGCCTGTAACCCCAGCACTCTGGGAGTCTGAGGCAGGAAGATAACTTGAGCTCAGTAATTTGAGACCAGGCTGAGCAAGAGCGAGACCCTGTCTCTACTAAAAATAGAAAAATCAGCTGGTGTTGTGTCAGGCGCCTGTAGTTCCAGCTACTCAGGAGGCTGAGGAAGGAGGATGTCTTGAACCCAGGAGTTTGAAGTTGCTGTGAGCTAGGCTGACACCATGGCATTGTAGCCTATGGCAACAGAGTAAGATTCACTCTCAGAAAGAAAAAAAGAAAGAAAGAAAGAATAAAAGTTTGTAGCTTTATAATAGGTATGACTTTACATCTGGTACAACAAGCTTCTAACCCCTACCTTTTGTTCTTTGTCAAGGGGTTATTGTTGCACATTTATATATACTGTATAAAATCACCATAAGCTATTATGTATCTATATGTTTATGTATTCATAATCATTTTTCTCTGTTAGAATGAAAGCTTCCTTAAGATAAGGATTTAGTGTTCACCACTGTGTCCCCTAGATACAGATATCCACCTAGAACAGCTTTGGACCCATATTAGGCACTTTATAAGATTCTGTTGAGTGAATGAATGGACATATAAATTTTAGAAGCATCCTGTCAAGTTCTATGAAGAGTCCTTTTGAGATTTTGATTGACATTCCATTGAAGTTTGTTTTGTTTGAGACAGAGTCTCACTTTGTTGCCCTTGGTAGAGTGCTGTAGCATCATAGCTCACAGCAACCTCTATTGCTACTTTTAGAGATGGAGTCTTGCTCTAGCACAGGCTATTTTTAGAGATGGGGTTTTGCTCTTGCTCAGGCTGGTCTTGAACTCATGAGCTCCAGGTGATCCAATCACCTAGGCCTCCCAAAGTGCTGGGATTACAGGTGTGAGCCATGGCACCTGGCCCTCCATTAAAGTTTTTTTTTTTTGCAATTTTTGGCTGGGGCTGGGTTTGAAACCACCACCTCCAGTATACGGGGCCAGCGCCCTACTTCTTTGAACCATAGGCGCCACCCTCCACTAAAGTTTTAAATTAATTTGGAGAGAATCAAAATCTTTACAATGATAGTTGTCCCATTCTTTTTTGTTTGTTTGTTTTTTTGGAGGCAGAGTCTCTCTTTGTCCCCCTCGTTAGAGTAATGTGGCATCATATGTCACAGTAACCTCAAACTCATGGACTCAAGCGATTCTCTTGCCTCAGCCTCCTAAGTAGCTGGAACTACAGGCACCCACCACAATGCCTGGCTATTTTTAGAGATGAGGTCTCCCTCTGGCTCAGGCTGGTCTTGAACCGGTGAGTTTAGGCAATCCACCAACCTTGGCCTCCCAGAATGTTAGAATTACAGGCAGGAGCCACCTCTTCCAGCCCCTAAGTTATCCCATTCTTGAACACATCTCTCCATTTATTCAGGTTTTTTGCATCTCTTTTTTTTGTTTGTTTGAGACAGAGTCTCAATATGTCACCCTCAGTAGAATGCTATGGCATCATAGCTCACAGCAATCTCAAACTCTTGGGCTTGAGAGATTCTCTTGCCTTAGCCTCCTGAGTAGCTGGGAATAAAGGCGCCCACCACAATGCCCAGGTATTTTTTAGTTGTAGTTGTCAGTGTTGTTTGGCAGGCCTGGGCTGGATTCGAACCTGCCAGCTCCGGTGTATGTTGGCTGGTGCCCTTGTGGCTGAGCTACAAGCACCAAGCCTTTTTTGCATCCTTTACTATAATCCTATTGTTTTCTTCAAGAAGGTCTTATCTTTTTGATTAGTTTATTACTAAGTCTTTCATAGTTTGTTTACTGTGGTAAATGTTATTTTAACATTATTACTCCATTTCAAATTGTTATTGCTGGTTTATAGGAAAGCTATTGATTTGCTGATACTGATTTGTGTCCAGCCACTTTGCTGAACTCACCAATTGTTGCTTTTGGGTTTTCCAAGTGCATTATCACATCATCAAAAACAATGGAAATCTGGCCTTTCCCTTTCCAATCTTTAAACTTCTTATCTGTCTTTACTTTCTCTTTCTTTCTTTCTTTCTTTTTTTGAGACAAAGTTTCACTTTGTCACCCTTGGTAGAGTGCTGTGGCATCATAGCTCACAGCAACCTGTAACAATTGCGTTCAAGCGATTTTCTTGCCTCAGCTTCCCAAGCAGCTGGGACTACAGGCACCCACCACAACGCCTGGCTATTTTTTTTTTTTTTTTTTAGAGATGGGGTCTTGCTCTAACTGAGGCTATGAGCTCAGGTGATCTGAGCTTGGCCTCCCAAAGTGCTAGGATTACAGGCGTGAGCCACCACACCCGGTTTGTCTTTAATTTCTTATTACAATAGTTGTAACTTCCAGGACATTGAGGAAGAGTAGAGGCATTGGCTCATTTCTGAAGATACTGTGAGTATCATTCAGGATAGATCAAGAGTTGCTGCAGTAACAAACAATCCCAGATCTAGTTGCTTAGTGCAATAAAAGTTTATTTCTCACGTGTTTCATGACCAATACAAGTTATGTGGTGGTAGAGGACATTCACTTTCTCAGAGATCCAGACTGATGGAAGCTCTGCACCTCCACGGGGAGGTGCTTCCATGACACTATGGTAGGAGGAAGAGGCAAGATGATTATGCATTGGTTTTGGAAGCTTCCACCCTGAAGGAACACCTGTTCTGTTCAATAGCATCTTTAAAAAAGAGCCATGGCTAAGCCTAACTTCCAAAGGGGTAGGGCAGTGGGGTCCTACCACACATACCAGAGGACAGCTGGACCGTGGGGACACTTCTGATGCCCTATCATTGCATATGTTTGCTCTAAGTTTCTGGTAAATAACCCTTTAACAGGTTAAGAGGTAAAGGTTGGTTGGTTGTCCCTCCCCTGTATAGGGTCATTGCCCTGATGTGGCTTTCTTTTTTTTTTTTTTTTTTTTTTTGAGACAGGAGCCTCAAGCTGTCCCCCTGGGTAGAGTGCTGTGGCGTCTCAGCTTACAGCAACCTCCAACTCCTGGGCTCAAGCGAGTCTCCTG